CTCTCTGAGACCAGTGTGGGCTAACACATACACACCTGGAAGAGGTTTCTTTCCACAGAGATCCACCAACATGCATGAGTCACCTTGTATACATGAGACGCTACTAGGTACCCCTGGACTGAATACTAGCTGCTGCCCTGCATGCATCTGTTTGGTGAAATTTGAGAATTACAGGGGTAGGGACATGCCAGGGTACAAGAGGAGATGGAGAAACTGAACAGGAGCTTAAGGGAGAGTGTGGGGACTGCATTTGAAGTGCTAAAAGGTAGGCACTGCCCAAGGACTTGTTACCCTACATTTAGCCGGGAGATGGGGCCATCATTTTCTGTGTTGTGTCTTTAACTGACTTAGGTAGCAGTGTAATGCCAGCTTTACAGCATTTGGGAAGGTTCTAGTTCATGGACTCTTTGGGGGAAGCTTTGGTTTTGGTGAGTTTCTAAAGATTTTCTAGAAACCTGCAGTGAATCCATTTGGGCCAAGTACTTTTTATTGCTGTCAATTTGTTCCTTACAATGGATCTGCTTGGGTTGTGCATTTGTTCTTGATTTAATTTTGGTAGGTCACCTAGATTAAGAAATTTCTCCATGTCTTTTTTTATTTTTCTGATTTGGTAGAATAAAGGCTTTGGAAGTGTGTCCTGACCATCTTCGGGGTTGCGTTGATCTCTGTTGCGTGCCTCAGTTTCCATCTCTTCTTTGACTTATTTTTTTTTAAATTTATTTTTATTTTATGTTTATTGGTGTTTTGCCTGTGTGTATGTCTGTATGAGGCTGTAGGGTCCCCTGGAACTGGAGTTATAGACAGTTGTAGGTGCTGGGAATTGAACCGGGGTCCTCTGGAAGAGCAGTCAGTGCTCTTAACCACTGAGCCATCTCTCCAGCCCCATCTCTTCTTTTGTTAATTCCAGTCTTCTGCCTCTTTCTTTTGGGTAGATCTGTCAGCACCAATCAGGAAGCAACTTTTCTGTTCCCCCATCTACCAGTTCTAGCTCCCAGGCCTGGAGGAGCTGGAGCCTTGTTGAGCTGGGAAGGGCTGTAACACGGAGAGACTCGCCTGTCTTGACTTCAGGCCCAAACTGCATGGTGATTGTGGGGGTGCTGTTGCAGGTGGAGGTCCTTCAGCTTGAAAGAACATGCAAAATTAAGCCTGGACATTGTAAGGCTAACCTCACATTGTTAACGAAGTAACCCTAAAAGTGTATTTCACATGTGACCAGAAAACTGAAAAGAATTCTTTCTGACTCTGGCAGAAACAGCTTGCAGAGCTGAAGGAAGGCAACCAAAAATGAAGTCTGTTTGCACTCCCTGGCCTGTCTTTCCCAACATCATGTTTACATGCAGCCATGCTTTCTGTTTGTCAGACCCTGCCTCTTCCACAGGACTGAGGACCAGATGCCATTGTTGCGTCTTTAAATTCTAATTTATCTTCCCAAAACCTCTTTCCTGTGAGATGTCCAGTCTGACTGTTCCAGCTAGAGACTGGTTCATTCTCCACTACGGACATTTACCCTCCTTTCTGACCCAGCATTGGGAGCCCCTCCTTTCCCAGACACAGCTACCATTCGGAGATAAACTTGGATGCCAGATTCCAGCCTCCTTCCAGCTGACACACAAGATGGCCCTGAATGCAGAACCCTAGGACAGGTACAGACAGGAGGTGTCTGCAGTCCATATTGGTGACAAGTAGCAGTGCTGGAGTATCAGAAGCTACACAGAGTTTCCAGAGGCGGAAATAGCGTAGACTGGTGCTTGGGTATGGAAAGAGATGCCTGTAATGACTGCAGCCATCTTGGATGGACCCATTCTGTAGGGTGGATTGAGTAAGCAATAGCACCCAAGACTGGCTCTCTAACACATCTAGAGATTCAATCAGCTCCACAGAAGTCCTTTAAAAAAAATTCCAAAATTGCCATAACTGCAAAGACACCATTACGACTTGTTCTAGATAACATGTATGTGATTATGATACTATTATTAAAAACAAAACACCCATCCCTATCATTGGTATGCCATTACTATCTAACTGTGCCTATTATTTGGAGTTCACCAATTTCCCAGAACATCAGTGACCCTTTTTCATTTGAAACTTTAGTTCAAGCTACCGTTTTGTTATGGTTGCTATTTTTCTAGTTATCCCTTCTCTATCTTTTAAATAAAAAGTGCTGGTTGGTTATTTTGTACAATGTCCCTTGGTCTGGACTCTTCTGGTCTTGACCTAAACTTTCCATTGCTGGACTGGAGATAATGGATTTGAGGAGGAAATACCACCCACACCTAGTGTCCTCTTTACATGATACCCATGGTACCCATGTGGCCTATGGTAATGTTAACCTTAACTAGTTGCTTTAAGTATTATTTTCCAGGTCTATTGAAGTTACTATTCTCTCCCCACCCAACCCTTGTATCTGTTCTGGTTGCGACAGTGTTTTGCTGAGTCCAGTCCATTTTAAGGGGAATGGAGTTAGCTTCTGTCTTTCTGGAGAGGGACATGGATTATTTGTGAATATTCCTGAAAAGAACTCCTGTCCCCTCTCTTTATAATGCAGTCCTCAATATAGCGTAAGAAAAGGACATTTGTTGGCCAAGAAAAAAAAATTACAGGTGAGTTTCTTAAAACATGGACTAGCAGGAAGCTTAACCAGCATGGCAGAGTCCGAAGAGATGCTAGAAACTGAGGCATGAACCTTTGTGTGAGAAACACGGGTGACTGTGGCGGGCTGGACTCCCTTGCCAGAGGACTGGTTTCCACCCCAAGGTTCTTAATTTTGGTTTCCACACAGCCTGAATGGCCGTTGCCTCTGGTGGCTGCCTGTCATCCTGTGCTATAGATGCCTCTGGATAAGTCAGGGCAAACACAACTGAAGGTCGCCAGGCCTTCATTCTGAAGAGGCGGACTTTCAGAGTCTGGACTCAGCCCAGACTTTCGCTTCATTCTTCCTGAACTGTGTTCCCGTGTGTCTACCAGTGTGGCCAGGAGTGGGGTAGTTACTCCTTCCCTCCTTATCGGGACTCTAAGGAGGAGTCAACTCTGGAAGAGGGAGGACCGCAGGATGACACCACAGCGTGTTCCTCCCGTGCCTTCTCTTCCTTCTCCCCAAGATAACATTTTGTGCCTAAAATAGCAGCAGAGACTGTGTTTGTGTCAAAGACCACACATGGATTCCTCTGCTCAACAGTCCCAAGGTCCCTTTTCATTTTAGAATCTTGACGTTGCTTTCTTTTCTTTCTCCTTCCTTCCTTCCTTCCTTCCTTCCTTCCTTCCTTCCTTCCTTCCTTCCTTCCTTCCTTCCTTCCTCCCTTCCTTTCTGTTTGTTTGCTTTGTTTTTTTGATGTTGCTTTCTAAAATGTGTAAAACAGGGAAGGTAGAGCTTCTCCACCCACAATCTCCTTGTGGACTTTTGCCATCCTTTCCCTGCCTCCCTGTTGCCCCAGAGGCTGCCAGGATCTCCCTCAGAATATGGCTGTAGGAATGCGGATCAGGTAAATGGTTTACTTCTCTAAGCTTCCGCTTCCACGTTGAAGAGCGAAGTCATTGCTTTGGTACCTATGTTAGCTTCCTCTCCAAGATTACATTGAGGGTCTCTGGGAAATTCAGAGCCCCTGACTCAGACCTTCATAAAGATGAATATGGCGGCAGGGAACAAGATGCGCCCAAATCCGGTAGTGGAGGCACACTGAATAAACAGATTTGGTAGAGATGTGAGCAGAGCTGGGGAGGTATGGCCTGGTGTCTTGTGGACAAGCTGTTGTACCCCCTCTGTCAGAGAGAACAAAAGAAGGCTAGCTCCCCCAACCACGCTAGAGGATCACCTGTTGGGAGCTGTGGCCTGCAGAGACAGAGGCAGCCAACTTCAGAGAACTGGAGGGAGGGGCCTTAGGGAACTGATCCTCTCAATTTGCCCTCCCTTCTGGTCTCCCCAACCCTCCCTGCCTAGGGCTCTCACTAATTGACTCAATCCAGAAGTCACAGGGCTGCTTGCTTCTGATCCTGGCCACTTAGCAGCCACCTGGGGAAAGTGCCAGGTGGTGAGTAGGCAGTACAGCTGGGCATCAGGAGGTGTCTAGCACAGGACCAACAGCAACTTTGTAGCAGAGGGGCCTAACCCTCCTTCCTGCCTTTTGCTGCCTCTCCCTGCGGTCTTCTCTTATTCTCTCACCCGGAGCAGCTCCAGTGTCCTTTAGTGCTACACAGCAGAAGGAACAGTTTATAACTTTGTAAACCAAGAGGGACCCATTTCGGCATGGCATTTCACACTGCTTGGGAGAAAGATTTGAGCCCTTTCTCTGCCTTCCTTGGGTTTTCCTCCAGTCTAGAAACCCAGAGTTCATCTCACAGTCTCTCCATCGGATCCCTAGGGCCCTGTTTTTCCACAGTGGGCATTGGGGGGCAGCTCCTGATGGGCACAGAAGGCCCCCCACAGTTTTGTGTGTGCATGCAATGGGGGAAAAGGTCCCACTTCGCTTTCTGGGCTAGGTTCATTTTTTTCACGAAAGTGATTTCTTCTCTGAGTCTGCTACTGCCACAGCCAATTGCAAAAGAGGAAGCTGCTCTCAGAAATGTCTTCTCGTCTTTGAAATGGAGGTGGAAACCACAGCTCAACTTCAAGCAAAACATGCATGGATCTGAAACAGTACTTCAGCTAATCAGGGAGGGATGAGCGAGGACTGGTTTGGGCAAGCGGAGGGAAGACAAGAGTTGGGTTGGGATGAGAGCAGCAAGTTTGTAGGTTAGAAAAAAGGGATCCTCCGAGATTTCCATGTAAAATACATCTCCACCTGACCTGCTCCAATGGTCAAATAAGCAGAGGTCTAGAAAAGCCGGGTGACTTGAGTGATCGACCACAGTGTGAGATCCAGGTAGTGACAGGCTAGTTTGGAGCAGCACTGAGCCCCAATCTCCAAGATCAAGATGGCTGGAGCCGGTCACTGTCATCTTTGTTTTGAGGTGTTGTTCGGTGCAATGAGGAAGACATGGGCGACAAACCCTGGGCTTTCAGGTAGAGTGTTTTATTAACCATTTAGTCATCAGAGCAGCTCCAGCTATGGAGATTAGAATATTCAGTCTCTCCTGGGGCTGGAGGAATAGTTCGTTGATTAAGTACTCGTTGTGTGAGCCTGAGGACCTGAGTTCAATCCCCTGATCCAACACAAAAACTGTGTGGTGACTCACTTGTAATTCCAGCTCTCCAGAGACAGGTAGATGTCTGGGGCTTTCTGGCTGGCCAGCGTAGCTTAATTGATGAGTTGTAGGCCAATGAGAGACACTGTCACAAAAACCAGGATGGACAACACTCAAGACTGGCCTCTGGCATCTAACATATGTATGTATTCCCCCATAATGCATGTATACCTGCACACATGCAAATACACACACACACACACACACACACACACACACACACACACACACTGTCGTCTCAATGCAACCTTTACCTTATTTCCTTTACCTTATTATTCTTATGAATCCCATATTCTCTACCCTAAGTTTCATTCATGAACTATAATTTTGTTCCTAGTGAACAACCCATTCTTGGGGCTTCTCTGCTAGTGAGGCCACACGTGGCCCTTGTCCTACTCTAAGCAGTGTGACTTCTCCCAGGAGATGTAGAGATATGCTCCCCAGAGTCCTGGAGAACACAGAGAATTTAAGAACAAATTTCAGAAGACAAGGCATTTAAATAGCGTTCCTTATATGAGATCAACTATTTTCCCCATTATATCAGTGTGATATAATTACATTAAAAAAGGACCTCTTGAATTCTGAAGGCAAATGGATGGAGCTAGAAAACATCATTTTGAGTGAGGTAACCCAGACCCAGAAAGACAATTATCATATGTACTCACTTATAAGTGCTTTTAAAACACAAAGCAAAGAAAGCCAGCCCACAAATCATAATCCCAGAGAACCTAGACAACAATGAGGACCCTAAGAGAGACATACATAGATCTAATCTACATGGGAAGTAGAAAAAGACAAGATCTCCTGAGTAAATTGGGAGCATGGGGACCTTGGGAGAGGGTTGAAAGGGAGGGGAGAGAAAGGAGAGGCACAGAGAACAATGTAGAGCTCTATAAATATCAATTTAAAAAAAGGACCTCTTAGGCAAATTTTTAGCAGAAAGTGCCTCATAGAGTCTTTTCTGGTGGTGATATTTAGAAGAAATATGTGGCAATGGAGAGCCCTTTGGGTTAGGCATTTTGGCTGGAAATCTGGGCCTCTTGGGAAGCAAGCCATAGGCCAGGCCTCCTTTCTGGTGGACTGTAAAGTCTCCACAGTACAATTCCATCTAATTCCCAAATGGTAACACTGCTGCTCATATGACACTCATGGGAGCAACATAAAAGCTACCAGTGTGAGCGGTACCAGGCTCTACGTAAGCACTCACTAAATGGTTTACACATTGTTTTAAGTTATTTTTTCACCATTGTGGCAGGACACTCAATGTAAACAGTGCACTGTCAGGGAGTCTTCAGATTATGGTTTCTGAAAATGCCATCTATCATGGTGGGAAGGCATAGTGAAGCTGCTTCATCTAGGGTGGTAGGCGCTTGGAACCTGGCTTGTTCATGTTCTGCAGTGCAGCAGACGCAGCCTGGGTTGAAACCAGAAATGGGTGTTACCTTCAGAGGCCGTCTCCCAGTGTCCCACTTCTGCTAAGGTTGGGGTCCCAAAGATTCCGGAACCCCCTCAAACAGTTCCTAGGACCATCCTAGGACCATCCTAGGGTCTGGGTTCAAACAGGAATCCGCAGGGCCTTTCCACTTTGAAGCCACAGCACATGTGTTCATTTAATGGTCACGCACACTCAGTACAGACCTTGCTATATGATACTCTTGCCTACTACTTTGTAAAGTTTAGATAAGAATGTTAAGTAACTTTCTGAGGTCCTATAAATAGTAAACTTACAGAAATATTTTAATGAGCTGCATGGATCCCCTTTCTAAAAGGAAGCACACATGGCTCCAGCTGCATCATTGGTGCCTAGAAGACAAACCACAATTACAAACCCTCTCTGAAACTGATCCCGGCTGAAGAGGGCTGGGCTTATTTCCTGGGACATCACATACTCCTCCATTGATCCACACAGACAAAGGCTCAGCTTTCTTGTTCCATCAACATAAAGTCCAAAAGGTCCAGTTCCGCTTCCCCGTCCTTGCATGATTGGCTTCCCTGAGACCAACAACAGCCTAGCTTCTCATGCTGCCTTACCCCATGGTCTTCCTTGAATTTCCATAGTAGCTGATCCCAGGAACACCGCAGGAACTCCGTGAACATGGGCTCTGCTTCTTGGGAACACACGTCTTGACAGTTCTAGTGCTATGTCCTCAGCTCCAGTCATCTGGTTCCTGGAGTTGTTAGCCGCTGTTTCCTGTTGAATATAAAGAGAGGTGTGATTCTCCATGTTGGAAGCCATAATGGCGGCTGTTGGTGGACTGTCCCTTCCACTCCGCTTCCAGGGGCGAAGTCCCCGGAGATTCAGAAAAAGCCTAGGGCAGGCAGCACTCTGGGCTCTGGTTTGGTTCTCCTTTTGCTCCCAAGGATGGGTGGGCCTTGGCCACATGCCTGTCTCAGCCCAAGCACAGCTGCATCCCCACCCACAAATGAGCACACCAGGAACCGATAGGAGGAACCGACCCACGGCTACTTCTCTATGAAACCTTTGCTCAAGACCCCACCTGCAGTGAGCCCCTCAGGCAGGACCTGGCTCTGATCTGAAAACACACACTTTCCCCTGCTGGGTACAGGTATGTGACTCCAGACGAAACTCTGAAATAAAATAGAAAGAAGACAGGGCATCTTTGGATGGACTTTTGTATTTGGTTGGGAGTGGGGTGAGGGGCTATTACTGAGTTTTGACTCTGTCACCTTGAAGTACTGTGTGCATTGCTAACCCTCTGTTGAATTCTTGCTGATTGGCTCTGATGTCGCTGGATTTCCTGGCACTAAGCCTGTTTTATCCCTAGCAGTGCAGTCCACAGAGAGAGGCTGTGTGGCTGAGCCTTTCTCCTGCTGCTGCTGGTGTCTGATTGCAGACAGACCTGACACACCACTGTCGTCACAGGTATACCTCACAGAGCTTCAGCCTCTCTCTCTCTCTCTCTCTCTCTCTCTCTCTCTCTCTCTCTCTCTCTTCCAAGACAAGGTTTCTCTGTAGCTTTGGTGCCTGTCCTGGAACTAGCTCTTGTAGACCAGGCTGGCCTCGAACTCACAGAGATCTGCCTGCCTCTGCCTTCCGAGTGCTGCCACCACCACCCTGTCAGACTAGACGCTCTTTAAGGTTGTCATTAGTGGTCTCATTGCATAGGGACTCTTCAGAAGACAGGATGTGAGGCAGTTAGAAAGTGGTTTTTGTGGCTATTGGTGACCTAGCTTGCATGAGAAATTCCTGTAAGTGAATGACCTCTTCTGTTTTCATGAGCAACAACACAGTTGACCCCGGGTTTTTGGCTGTGTCACAGTGTGTGGTGAGGTAAAAGTCCATCATCCTACAGACAAAACGAGGATGTTCTGTGGCAGACTTTATTTTCCTTATATTTCACTTTGGAAAAAATACACACACATATATGGATATATTTAGTTACTAAATTACAGCAACAAAATAGAAAAACTACAACTTTAAAAAATATAAACTTTCTGACAGATAACAGTTTGACACAGAGCCTTTCCGTAGGGTGAAAAGGACCAACGAAAAACACCCTGACCCTGACTTGACCCCGATACCAGGGTTTGAAATCCTACCAACCCCTGAGCTTGCCACAGAGTCAGGCTGCAGAATCCCACTGATCCCAGAGATTCCTGAGCATGAAATCTCAGCAATCCCTGAGCTCGCCCCAGAATCAGGATACAAAACCCCACCAATCCCAAGTCACCCTGGAAAGTTGCACCTCCCCTACCCCTAAGAAACCCTATATATACTCCACACCCTGTTCTGCTTCTCACCCTAGATTTTTCCTTCCCAATAAATCTCCTCAGTGAGGTTTGGTGTGGGGTGTGAGACTTTCCCAGAGAGGAGCCCAGCTGTAACAACTTTCGCCTGAGCCAGAGTGGAGCAGAATTGTAACACTTTGGCTGGGAACTTTAGCCTTGCGGAGCACAGTTGTTACATTTCAGGGGGCCTGAGCAGAGCTGGAAGAAGTGTCCTGAGCAGAGTGGAGCAGAGCTATAGAACTTCCCTGGGGAAACCCTCCCCTGTTAGAGCAGAGTTGTTACACTTGCACTGGGGAAACCTTTCCCAGGAGCAGAATTGTAGATGCTATGCTTACAGTGACTTTTTGGTATTCCTTGGCTCCCGACTGCCAGGATACCTCTCAGGTCACGCTGCAATGCTTACACTTCTGAGCTAGCCTGAGGGTCTGTCTTGTCACAGCCGATAGGCACCACTCCTAATATTTTTATAGGTTACAATAAATCTTGCTTTTTGAGAATTTGCTTTGCTTTTTGAAGGATTTTGAGTGACATTTCTTCAAGTAATAACAGGCACTTATTTGTAGTTTATTTACTAGTTGACTATTTGACTTTCTTCCACTTTTCTTTTGTGTATGCTTTCCAACTGATAAATACTAATATATACATGTACACAAGTATATATGTTAAAAATATTAATCATTTTTATATACACTGGTGATATTCTATAACACTATTTTATTAGCCCCTCCTCATAATGGAAGATTTGATTTTAGATGCCATATGCTTCTGCCAGGCAAATAGGTCAAGGTTAATATTTTCTTTTCCTGTGGTTTGAAAGTAGGCTTGCAAGCCTTCTCTACCTCAATAGAATAACATTACTCTAGATTTTCTAAAACGGAAAACAATAAGCCTAAGAATGTCTTACATCTTCCATAAATAGAAGTTTTCTCCAAGAGTATTTGATTTACTTTTTTACAATTTAATAAGCAATTAGTTGTTTGAATGCTACACCTTAAAAATTCAATATTATTATGTGTGGAAATATTCTAGTATATAAATATTATGTATAAATTATTTATATTATATATATTATGAATATATCTCCTATATTCTACTTCATGGATCTCTTTTCCTATACTTATATAAAATTAGAATGTTTTAGCTATTGCAGACTTGAGAGAGCCAGGCTCCATTCACTACTCATGTTTCTGTTTATTTCTTTTTCTTTTTTTAGATGATAAATTTTGTTATGCATTTTAAATATTTATTTTTTATTGAAAATAAAATTATTTTCATTTTCAAGCAATGTATTCTGATCACAGTTTCCCCTCCCTCATCTCCTCCCAGATTCTCCCTACCTCCCTACCATCCCAACTCCACCCCTTCATTTTTTAGTAATAATAAAACATCTTTAATTGAATAAAATATGTTTAATAAATGAGAAAACTGTTTATTTTCTGGTATTCCTCTGATAGGAATACTAGTATTTCTAGTTTATTCCTAGTATAATTCCCCAATTATAACTTTTATACATGATATTTACACCATTTCCCTAGATATTTTTAAGTGGAATTTTTCACTTTTCAAAGGGCTACTTTTGTCAGGTTTTAGGATGAATATTGTACTGGTTTCTAGATAATTTCCCAAACTCCCCCACCCAGCAAACTGTCCTAGTTACCTTTCTACAGCTGTGACAAAACCCCATGACCAAGAAAACTTATAAAGGAAAGCATTTCATTTGGGGCTCACAGTTCCAAAGGGCTGGAGTCCGTGACCGTCATGGCAGGGAGCACGGCAGCAGACAGGAAATATAACCCTGGAGCAGTCGTGGACAATCTAGATCTGAGCCACAAGCAGGAGGCAGAGAGAGCTAACTGGGAAAGGGGTGAGCTTTTGAAATTTTCAAGCCCACCTGCAGTGACTCACCTCCAAGGAGATCATGGCCCCTCTTCTTTCCCAAACAATCCCAGCCACTCAGGACCAAGCATTCATATGTGTGAACTCATGGGAACCTCTTCCATTCAAACCACCACCCATCTTCTAGAGATAGGGTTTCATGTGTCCTAATCTGGCCTGAAGCTCCCTGTGTAGCCGAGGAGTGCTTTGGACTTCTGATCCTCCTCCCTCCACCTGCTGAATGCTGAGATTTCAGGCTTGCTGGAGATTGAACCTGGGACTTTCTGCACTAGGCAATCACCCCTCTCAACTCCTGGCCCTTACTTTTCTTTTTCAAAAACATTTAAATCTCACCGCTGGCCATATCCCTACCATACAGAGTCCTTCCTATCAGGCCATGGAGCCCCCCTGTATTTGTTACCTATTGCTATGCAACAAATTATCCCAATATTAGTAGCTTAGCAACAAACATTTATTACCTTGGTCTCTGTGAGTCACAGAGGCAAGATGTTGTGAATCCCAAGCTTTTGTGAGATAGCAGTTAAGATGTTGACCAGGGGTGCAGTCCTGCAGAGACTGGGGTGAGCTAGCAGTTTTCCAGACTCACTCACATGCCCGGTAGCTAGGCTAGGCGCCTCACCAAAGAGCTCTCCTGGTTCTGCTGCACTGCACCCATAAGTCAGCTTCTCCCATGGGAAGTGATTCGAGAAAGGGTGAAGCTAAGGTCTGTTATGGTCTGGTCTCAGAGTCCTGCCCATCATCATAAGGTAGCCTGTCAGGGTATCACCCCTGACACACTCTGTCAGTCAAGGGCAAACTGTTGGCACGTGGAGGTGAATACACAGGCATATGAAAACCGGAAAGAATACCACTGATGGGGCGTCTTAGAGTCTGGCTGCCGTACCACCCATCCTTGTCCTCCACATTTTGGGTTCTGTCCTCTGAAACACTGGTCTAATACTCAGAAAAAATAAAATATTGTCCTGCTCTTCTAGCTGAATAGTTAAAAGGGCTCATCCCAAGTGTTGCCTCAGCAAAATGGTTTTGTACACACACGCAATCCTGGGAACTGATAACTGTGGATTGTTCTCTGTGGAGATTTCAATGTGAACACTCACTTCTTTGAAATTCTTCTCTGCTACAGTCCTTCTCCAGTTCAACCAGGAACTCCACCAGGGTAGGTGCCAATTCAGGTCAGATATGTGTACTATAGGCACAATTCAGAACAGCGTCCCTGTGGACATCCTCATTGGGAACACAGGTGGAGGAGAGAGCGCAGAGGGACGGGGGCAGTGCTGTGTGTTTCTTTTCTTTTTAAAATTAACAAATAAACATTTTCTATCCCCCTCCCTCCCTCCTTGTCACCCTTCCTCCCTTATTTCTTTCCTTCTCTCTCTCTCCCTCTCTCCTTCTTTCCTTTATTCCTTCCTTTCTCTCTCTCCTTTCTTTCTTTCTTTCTTTCTTTCTTTCTTTCTTTCTTTCTTTCTT